AAGATTTAAGATTTTAAGATTTTTTTTTTTTTGAGGTCGTCCTCAACTTATGGCAATTTCTGTCACTAAGGGATACAGTTGTAAAACGCGACCGCATCACTTAGCGACGGAAATCCCTGCAGTCATAGTTGCCATCATTAACCGAATCCCAGGGTCATTAGATGAGGCAACTTCCTGCTGGCTTCCCACCACCAAAGTCAGTGGAGAAGCCAGCAGGAAGTTGCAAGTCCCAGGCTGGCAGGCAGGTAAATAGCTGCTACTGAGGGGGGGGGAGCGAGGGGGTTCATGGCAGTGTAGGGGAGGGTTGGGGAGGGTGAGAGGGAGGGTGCATGAGGGTGTGAGGCTGTGCGCAAGAAGTGCAGATCATGAAGGGTGTGAGTGGGTGTGCGAGAGGCAAGGCAAGGGTCAGGGAGAATGCGTAGGGGTGCATGAGTGGCCGCAGAGGGGCTGGGTGCATAGGTGGGGGAGACTTACCTAGCAACCTGCAACCTTCCCTGCCAACTTTCCCATTGACTTTCTGAGGAAGCCAGCAGGAAAGATGGCAAGTGGTGATCATGGGGCCCTGCAACTGGTTGTAAGTGCAAACCAGTTGCCAAGCACCCAGATCGTGATCACATAACCATGGGGGTACTGGGATGGCTGGAACTCTGAGGACCAGTCGTAACCACCATTTGTTCAGCATCATCACAACTTCGAACAGTCGCTGAACAAACAGCCATAGGTCAAGGACTACCTGTATTCCTAAGGCAGACTTTTGGACTGTTGCAGGGGACAGGACTGATCCAGGAGGTGGCTGTGAGTTTTCTCACCTCTGAGCAGACACCATTAATTCCCGGAGAGAGGCCGTTCGATTGCAGGATCAAACAAGAAGAGGACGATGGTGGCAGTTCAGAAGGTAAGGCTTAATGGTATGCAGGGTTCTGGTGATCTCTGGTTTGTTTTTTGGATGGTTCTGCCTTCAGTTAATAGCAGTATTCTGTCAGAACCTGGGTTTGTGGGATGTTTGCACCTTCATGGTATGCCAGGAGTTATAAACTACCTTTTAAACCAAGATTGGTTCATTGGTTGGAGAATCCTGGCTTGCTTGAGTGCAGTAAACCAAAATGTTACAAATAAATGCAGAGGTCCCTAAACGTGTTGGACTAGCCCACACACCTCAGATTGGTTGCCAGAGTACATATGGAAGGACATAGGTTTATTTATAGAAGAGATCTATAAACCTTTGTTCAATTCAGGAACCCTGATATTACACAGACTAATGACAAAACCAAAACAGAATTGAAAAGAGCCAGTTAGAAACAGGTATTAAGGGGATTGAACAGCCGAAGCAAGCTGACATAAATAGGGCCAGTTTTCAAAGATGCTTCAAACATATCAACATTTGGGCCTGTCCTATGCCAGAGGGGAGGGTGTTCCTTGGGCAGCATCACTGCCTCCACATTGCCACCAACGGATCCCTGCAAGCCACAGTACGAAAAGCAGAAGCCATTTGTCAGGAAGAGTCAGCCTGGGCTTGGCAGTAAATCCCAGATCTCGGGAGGCTTCACAGCTTAGTTTGACTCCTTCCTTGGCTAGGCTCGGCAGAGCCTCCCAGACCCAGCCTGGCTAGATTAGACTCTTGGTTGCAAACAAGAGCGGAGCTGCGCCCAGCTGCCTCACCGCCTCCTGCCAGTGAGAAGAGCTTAATGACTTTTATAAACCTCACGTTTTAATCTGGAGGCTTCTTTCTTATCCTGTTCAAATTAACAGAGGCTTGGGGTGGTGCTTAGTAGCGTTGAAGCTGAGCTATTGCTGCACGTTCACACAACAGCCATCTCTGGATGGGAACTGCTGGTTCCTCCCTCAGACCTCTCAGAAGGCCCGACTTGGACTTTCCAGGCTGCTCATCTACCTGCTGATCATAGGGTCCTTTTTCTGGGTAATAGATCTTCTTCCATGCAAAGCACCAGGTGCAGCTAGCCCCCATTTTTATGCTCACGCATGGCTCTCCTGCGTTATCCAGAAGTGACTTTCATATTAAAAATAATGCAAGTAGCCAGTGCTTTGTTTCGAGGTATGCTGACTTTTATTTATTATTTTAAATTGACGAGAGATGGATTAATTATGTGCCATCAAGTCAGTGTCAACTCTTAGAGACCACATGGATAGATTTTCTCCATGGCAATCTGTCCCTACTGGTCCTTAAGTCTTCTAACAGTGCCCCCATTGCCACCATAACCGAGTCCACCCTCTTTGCTGCTGGATGTCCTCTTCTTCTCTTTCCTTCCACCTTTCCCAGCATCAGAGCCTCCTCCAGAGAGCTGGTCTTAGCATCTTGGGTCCAAAGTAGGATAATTTGAGCCTGGTCTTTTGTGCCTTGAGTGAGAACTCTGGGTGATCTCTTCAATGATCTTTGAAGGTATAGACACATCATGGCATCTGAATCTCTTTTCCAAAGCCTTCATGGCTGCTCTACCAAGTGCTAGTCTGCGGCGTATTTCTTGATGTTATTATTTTTTTCAAGGAAGTAGGTGAGGCAGGGTACTTTGTGGCCACAAGTACCATGCTGAGACACCCCAGCTATATATAGATCCCTTCTGATTTGTTTTCCTGCCTGTCTAGGGAATGAAAAAAATGTGTTGGATTGTGTACACTAGGCCAAGGTCTGGCACGCTGTAGGTTAATAAGGCATCCTACCTTAAAGCAACCCCCAAAATAGTCTCTGGCTTTTTCTGTGCCTGATGTTTGAGATTTAACAGGCAGTCTTGAAAGGAGGAGATGCCCAGATTTTTCTTTTCCCCAGCTCAAAAGGAAGTACAGGAGAATCCCCGGAAGGAGATTGGGATTTTTCTGTGACATTCTGCACCTGAGATGTGATTGTTAGCTACTAGTGGTAAATAATCATGAGCGCAAAAAAGCCATTCTTACATTTAATGTTGATTTTTTTTTTTGTGATGACAAATCTAACTCTTCTTATGAACCTTTTTTAAAAAATGTAATCATATATTTATTCATTCAAGGACACGATTGGCTGCCTGCACACCTGAACAAAATTTGTAGTTAAGTTTGCCAGGAGCTGATACTTAGATTCCCAGTGAAGAAATAACTGAAAAACAGTCTTTTTACCTTTTAATTGCAGTTTGTAATGAAATCACTTCCATTAAAAAAACAACAACAGTAGCCTCTGTTACAATAGGAAAGCTTTCTATTTTATTTTAAGCCTCCTTTCCCTTCTCTGCAGTATTGCATAAGTTATCTGTGAGGGACATATAAGCCTTTATATTTTGATGATCTTGGAACAGAAGCCCCGTTCTTTCCGTGATTATGCTAGAACAAGACTGGAGAATGTGGCTTTTCAGATGTTTCTGGGCTCCTCTCAGCTTTAGCCAGCAAGATAAGAAGTCAGGGATTATGAGAATTGTAGTCAAGCCATGTCTGGATGGTTCCCAACTCTCTGCATTATAACCTGGGCTGAAGCAATGCATTTGTTTAGAACTTACTGTCACTTATTTGTTAGATTTATTTCCTACCTTTCTTCCAGGGCCTCATGGCAGCTTGGATCCTACTTCTTCTTCCAATTTTATACCTGCAACCACAACCCTACAAGGTAGGTTTGGCTGAGAGATGGTGACCGGGGCCCATCCCCCTATAAAATTTCCGTGGCTGAGGGCAGACTAGAATTTCCCCAATTCTAATCCTCCATCCTAACCATTAAATCCCACTGGATGACTTGATTCAGAAGGACTGAAAGAAGAATACAGTGGTACCTCGGGTTACGAACGCCTCTGTTAACGAACTTTTCGGGTTACGACCAGCTCCGGCCACAAAAATTTACCTCAGTTTGCGAACTCTGCCTCGGGGTACGAACAGGATGCGCGGCCATTTTCTCTCCCGTGACACGGTCCGCGGCCATTTTTCCGCCCCTGACACGTGGTCCGTGGCCATTTTCCGCCCCTGACACGTGGTCCGCAGCCATTTTTCCGCCCCTGACACGTGGTCCGTGGCCATTTTCCGCCCCTGACACGTGGTCCGCAGCCATTTTTCCGCCCCTGACACGTGGTCCGTGGCCATTTTCCGCCCCTGACACGTGGTCCGCAGCCATTTTTCCGCCCCTGACACGTGGTCCGTGGCCATTTTCCGCCCCTGACACGTGGTCCGCAGCCATTTTTCCGCCCCTGACACGTGGTCCGTGGCCATTTTCCGCCCCTGACACGTGGTCCGCAGCCATTTTTCCGCCCCTGACACGTGGTCCGCGGCCATTTTTCCGCCCCTGATGCGTGGTCCGCGGCCATTTTTCCGCCCCTGACG